CTTCTCTTGTTCAGATTGAAAAACCCAATTCCCTCAGCCCCACTACCCCACTTCCTATGTTGTGCCTCCAGCCCTTCAGGGAACCCAACACTGTAGTACTTAGATGAGGTCTCACAGGAGCCAAATAGAGGGGGATAATCACTTGGCTTGACCTGCAGACTGTGCTGCTGCTTGGGTAGCCCAGTGTTTGGTTAGCCTTTACCACTGTAAGGCATTCTGCTGCTCCAGGTCCTCACTGAATCAGTTCACATTGCTGCAGGTTTTCTTTCCTCACTGAAGCCTGCTTCCCTCAGCTTTCATGTAGAAAAATGACAGATGCACACATTATATCTCGCTGGCTTTTGTTTTCATTCCTTGCAGAGACCTTTATGGCTTTTCCATATTAATCTTGCAGAGAACACAGGCACGACAACAAGTGTTCATAGCAATTCCAACTGTCTTTGCACAGACATATCCTGATGGATATCCTGACAGCCTGCTCCCCAAACTGGACCGCCTTGCTTCTTTACTCACCGTGAAGGATTTTAGCAAATGGAAGATAACTTCAGCTGACACGCTGGCTGCCTTGCTAGAGCTTGACCTCCAAAATGAACAGGTGGGGATTTCCTGGTTTGGGAGCTGCTGGTTTGGGACCAGCTTAGTGGCTTCTTAAGATAATTGGCCCATCCTCGAGGTCCAAACAAGGAGATTTAAAATGATTTGGTTTAATTTTGTAATTATCACATTTGTTTTTCTTTTAAAGATGAAACCATGAATGAAACTAACTTTTGAAAAAAATGTGTTTCTAGGCTGCTGCTGTGATCAGTCGATACGTTGCCTTGGGAAATCCCTTGAATGCCACTGCACTGAATGCAATTAATACAAAATACTTGTGCACTCTGAATGAGACCTTGCTGAATCTGATAGACCCCAACAGCCTGAAGTGAGTCAACATTGCAATGCTCTCAGCTTCTTGTAGAAGCACATTCCCATCAGCAAGGGCAGTTTGCTTTCTCTCCATGCAGTAAAAGGAATTCTAAGGAGCAACTCAGTGCATGTTCTCTGCCCAGGCTTAAAAGCCTGTTGTTCTCCACTCTGCTAGATCTGCAATCAAATTCTTTTTACTGCACCTCAGGTGACAACCAGTATGGTCTGCATGCATGCCTGCTTTTGTCTGGAGGCAAAACAGTTGATTCTGAAGGACTGCTAAATAAAATTAATTACATAACTACATCTTTGCAAACACATAGTTAGCATTGCACCACCACAGCCATCGTAACTGAGAAAACACATCATTTTCAGCAGGCAACTGAGACATTATTTTCTTCATTGAGCTTCTCTCCATACGTCATCTGTCTAATGGGAAGAATTTGGGATTTATTCAAGTTGAAACTAATAAGAACTTTTATTTTCCTAAATCATCATCATTATCTTTTTTTTTCTTTTTTTTTTCTTTTTTTCAGACTGGCATCCCTGAATCCTTCAGCCTGTTCACAGCTTACAAAAGACATCCTGTATGCTAAAGCAAAACGTGCTTTCTCAGACCGGCACTACTTACGTGACTACTATATGCTTATTGAGCCTTACCTAGGTATGTAAAATAACAGTCTGTACAGGGAAAGAGGAACAAACACTGTCTTAGGATCTGGGAATCTTCAAAGCTGAGCTGTTAGAAGTTCTGGAAGGTTAGCATCTTTTTCCAACTTGTAGATGACATAAAATATTCTTGGAAGAATCTCTACCTGACTTAAAATTCCCTTCACTGATTGTCTAACTATCACAGGAATATTCAGACTCGTGGTTTCTGGGTTGGGTAAGATCTGCTAAGTGCCTTGGAAATCCAGCTGCCAATGCCTAGTGCTTATCTCATAGGCATTTCCCATGTCACAAAACATGGATTTTCCCTGTTAACCCAAGAATTCATTCACAGCCTCAGTGAACCTCTTCTTGCCCATTCCATCTGGCCGTTGATGCAGATTGGTTTGATGGCCAACATCATAAAACCCTGCAGCTAAAGGAACTATTTTTTTTTTTTTTTGCATTTGAAATTCACTCTGTTAGCAGTCCAGGCCTAATAAGTTTATGCTCCAACCTATACAGGTACACAACACTGCTCATTTGTGTGAGGGCATTGAGTAAAACTTTCTCTTTTTGGTCACAGGAGGTGCTCCTGGTGAGGATATCAGAGCTCTGAGCAAGGACAAGGTGAACATGAATGTTAGCACATTGGTGAATTTGAGAAGAGATGCTTTGATGGTAAGCTGAATGCTGACGTTGTTCAGCTCCTCGCGTTTCTGCCCTACGAGGTGGTTGTTTCTGGTCATGTTGTCCATTGTTGTAAATCCAGAGTTGCTCCATCAAATTCACAGTGATGGCTGACTAATGGAAAGCAGCAAACCAACCTGAAACTTCCCTAGAAGTTTAATTTGGAGTTATCCATGGGTGCCTACCCAGTCTTACTGGGGAGTTTCTTTAGAACAAGCACTCATAGTGGTAGTAGGAGGTTTCCACTAGGCTACAGTGCAAACCTTCTAACAGGAGTGTTAGCAGTAATATTACTGGTTTGGGAAGAAAGCTTTGTGACCAGAGCAGGGACTGGGGACCATGCATGAGTCAAGGAGATGTCATGGTAAGACAACAGAAATTGGTTTTGAGGAATCACTGTGTTTATTCCCCAAACCTAAGGTAAGATTTGTTCCAACTGGAGCCACTCACCGCAAGTTTGTTGTTCTGAATGCTTCTGCTAACAGAAACCTCATCAGATCCTTGACTAGAGGAGGTATGGTCATTCCTGCATTTACATCAGTAAGTCGTGTTTGATTTCTCCTAGAGCCTGACACCTGCTGAGGTTAAGGACTTGCTGGGGATACATCTACCTGATCTGTCAAGTTGGAGGAACATGTCTCCCATCAAGGAATGGGCCCAAAGACAGAAGCAAACAGAACTGGATAAACTGGGTGTTGGGCTCACTGGGGGAACACAAGAAGGCTATATAAACATCGTCACGCCCAAGTTTCAGCGTATGTAGTGTGCTAGGGCTTCTGATTTTTGTGCTTTAAATACTTATTCTTTGGTTACTGTAAGGAGAATAATTGCCTTGTGGAAGTGAGGTAATTTTGGTGGCCTGTAAAGAGAACTGAGCACACCAAGTTCTCAGCCATGCTTGTGCCAAGGCCTTAGAAAGTCCTGCTAGCTGCTCATGTGTCTGAGAGGAGAGACTGTTGGTCTGGGCTATTGCAGATCTCTTTCACTGGTGTTTGCTGCTGCCTATCCACACAGCCCCTTTAAAATGCAATGGATGGTGCTCACCTGCACCCTCCACTTCCCAGCATGGAGAGGCAGCAAATCCAGTTCTGCAGAGGAACCTTAAGCCTTGCAGCAATTTCTAAGTCCAAGATGAGGAGCAGTCCTGTAATCTCACTGAAAGCATCCATGTGAGCTGAGCATCTCAACTGAATGAGCACTTCCACAGCACCCTGAAGTACTGTGCATTGGATTTGGGCTTTGACTTGATGATTTGATTAGGGATAGCTGGGTACTGATTAGAGAGCCCTTGCCAAAAATCCAGAGATCTTCCCTGGATGTGGCACAACAGGATCTTTTCCTCGTGGAAGAATGGTTCAATTGTTGATTTCTTTGTACTGATGCCCCTTTTTTCTTCTAGCACCATCCTCAGCCCCTCTTGGTACCGAGGCCATGATGCTCCACCTCCTGCCTGCTCTACTTCTCAGTTTCCTGATGGTGTCAATCTTGTGTTGAAAATCTTCCCTTGGATACAGCACGATGAGGTGGACCGGTGTGTTACCTGCTCAGAGCCTGCTGGGGATTGCCAGGCCAGGGGTGAAGGGTGCTCACTGCAAGCAGGCAGCTGCTGCGTGGCTCTGTGCTCGTTGCTAGGTACTTTTCTTTTTCAAATCAATAGAAAAAAATTAGTGTTCTATTGGAACTGCAGCTTTCGGACAATTCAGAGCAGGATCTCTTTTTGCCTTTTGTACAAACCAAGCCAAGGTAATATACATCCCTGTTACTGCAATGGAACTGCAACACAACAGCTTTCAGTATTTTACTGTGCAACCGTGGTGGGTTTAGGGGTGAGCAGATCTGCTGTTCTGCATGTTACTGATTGCATTTCTCAGAACCTGATCTCTTGGTGCTGCCAGGCCCTCTGAGTGGGAGTAAAGCTTTCCAGCTGGTTCTAAAGAAATTGTGGAGCTAAGTAAAAATGCCAGAAGCAAAATGGGAACTGCTGTTGTCTTCATTCACTGCCTGCACTGCAGTGGCTGTGGGTACTAGATCAAATTAAATGGCTAGGAACCTCAGACATGCCTGCTAGTTTTCTTTGGTGTTGACTACTCCAACCTAAGGGCTGAAGCTGTTCTCAGCTTCCTTATGAGAACAATATAAGAGCTTTGTGTAGGACTTTCAACATATTTTTTTGCTTCTTTACGGGATACGGAACTATAGGGATTTCTGTCCAAGAAAAGCCTTAATGTGAGAAGAGGATAGAAGGAAGTCAAGGCAAAGGAAGGGGAATCTATCAAGATTTGTTAGCCAGAAAAGCTCCAAAGCACTAAATGTATCCAAGAACATGCTTGATTAAGAAAAAAATAGTTGATTGTTTTATTATATATAATTGCAACAGTAATCAAGATAAACTACCCTCAATTTGTCTTCCTAACTAGGCTTAGTGTAGTTTGAACAAATGTTGATGACAAGTTCATGAAGCAAATTAAATGCACTTTAGTGGATTTCTGGCTGAGTTTTCAGGCTGAGTTTCTGGGCTGTGTTCCACCTCTCTTTCAGGGGCCAGCAGTTCGAGTCCCTGAGTTTTCCCACTGTTTTTTTTAACTGTGGGACTGCTTAGAAGCAAAACAGCACCCAGTGTGAATAAAGCTGGTAGAACTGTGCCCACTGTCAGCATTAAAATAGTGCTGGATCAGCCAATATTAACTGATAATTGTATAGAGCAGCTAGCTTGTGAAGTACCTGCTGCTTTGGGATGGAAAATCATCTGTCCTCATTTCACTTTCCAGATTCAAAACAAAATGAGCTTTCCTTGCTGGAATCAAAAGGACAAACTCTTCTCCTTCCCTGGGTTTCTACTTTTCAGGCAGAAATTTGCCAGCATCGTTTTGCAGGATGATGAATGTGGGAGGAGGGATTCGGGAGCGCAGTGCTGGAGGTGCAGTGTCAGAGAAGCCCTTGTAGCAGGGATATTGCCATGGCTGTGGTCAGTATGTGGAGTAAGCATGAGGACACCCTGGATCCTGAGCCTAGAGAACAGGGATGAGAAAGGATTGAGTTATCCACACAAACAGCACATGTGTGCACTTGGGGCAGGAGAGTTGCTTTGGGGTTTGGATGCCCTGGGGGTCTGTGTGTGTGTGACATCGGCCAGACCCTGCACCTTCAGGCACTGCTCTGCATCCTGTCTACAAAAATCACCTTGTATCACAGTCAGGAGAACTGAGTCTGCTCTTATTTTTTCTAGTGCAGAAGTAAACCTGAGTCAGTAAAGGTATGAGTGCAGCTCTGCTGGGATACAGGACTATAGACTTTAGGGCTTTCACTATTCAAAAGCAGTATGTGCAGTTAAAATATGGAACTCTTAAGTCCTTTGTGAAAAACAGTGCAGCACACTGACGTTGATGGGTTTACTCCAGCTGTTTTGCAGAGTGGATGAGAGCTGCTGTGCACTCAAAGTGTGATGAGGTGCCGTAAGCTATAGCTTGCAACACTTGCAGGATCTGAAGGCAGCATGCTGCAGAACAGCTGTTGTCAGGCCCTGTGCAGGTACAGTGCTACCTGACACGCTGTAACTACCTGGGGTTTCTTGTGCATAGCATGCCACTATTGAATGTAGCCAGGAAAAAAGCAGATCAGCTGCTGCTTGTTGGTGAGACTTTTGCCCCCATGTTGGCCCCTCAGCCTTTCCCAGTTCCCAACCTTACCAGATTCAGGTTGCAGATTAATGTATCCACCAGGTGGAGGTCTGGGTGTCTCTGGCACATCTACTGGTGCTTTCTTGGTGATCTCTCTGCTGGAGGTGGTGGAAGAGGGGTCGAGAGGTGCTGGAGGAGCACCAGTCTTGCAAATGGTTGCTGTAGGCTTGCTCGTTGAAGAGCTGATACTTTGGGTGGAGGCAGTGATGTTGTTAAGTGGGGTGGTGGGCTTGTGGGAGAGGGGATTCATTTCTGTGGCTGTGGTGGCAGCAGGCACAGAGGTGGGCTTTGGGACAAGGGCACAGGGGGAGCTTGGGGTGGTGGTGTTACAGGGGGCAGGAGCTGGACCGGTGGTACCTCCCAGTGCTGGGGACACTGGTGGGGTCCCAGTGCTGCGGATGGTGCCTGTGGGATTGGGAACATCAGTGCTGGTGGTGGCACTGTGTGTGACAGCTGGGGGTGGAACAGAGCTGGGAGAGGTGGCCCTGGGGCTGACAGCAGTGAGGATGGTGGTGAGGAGGGTGGCAGCAGGGGATTTGGAGGTGGTGGGTTGGTGGATGAAGCATGGGGTGATGGAGCTGGGGACTGGGGTGGAGGTGATGGTGGTGACAGCAGTGCTGGGCTGGGCGGTGTATGGGAGGGTTGGGCTTGCAGTATTTGGGGTGGGGGCCTCGGGGCTGGTGTTTGGATTAGTGGGGTGGCTGCTGGTGGCTATAGGGGTGGGGGCAGCAGTGAGGGGGGAAGGGGTGGTTGTGGGGGGAGGCTCCCGCATCCCCCCTTGCAGGCCGATTCCCAGGATTTGGTCCAGTTCCTGCTGGGACTGTTTCTTGACCCAGCACATCACAGCAGTCTGATTTTCAGCTCCCTTCAGTTGTTGGATGTTTGCCCCCAGCAAATTTTTGACATCCAGAACGCTGAGTTTCTGCAATGCACGTATGACAGCTTTGGTCAGGCTCATAGCTGACACTGCCTGAAAATGCTTTTTTAAAGGGTATGCAGAACGAGTAATAACTTATGAAAGAAAATTTTGAAAGGTTAGAAGTAGAGATTTGGTGATCTGATGACACTGAAGTCTTGAACCCATAGCTCAGCTCTCAACTTAGAATGATAGAATGGCATGGGTTGCAAGGGACCACAAAGATCACGTAGTTCCAACCCCCCTGCCATGGGAATAACAGCAGCACACAGCACAGCAGGAACATACCTGCAGTTCATTGGGATTTAGGGCAAGAAAGGTGTCAATGTCCATGTTGACGCCATTTTCAGCCAAGTCCTTCAGGTCTTCTGCTGGAGCTCCACCTTGAAGAAAGCACCCAGGGCACCTGAACTCATGTGAACACTTCCAACACTGAGGGAAGGGCTTTGCTGGCTGTTGGATAGTTCTTGACTATGGCCAGCCTTCCAGCCAAGGAAGACATCTCTACAGAAAGTGAAGGCTGAAGAACCTACCCAGATATGGCCGCATCTGGAGGTAATACACCTTGGTGCCAGCCTGGCTGGCAAAGGCCTGCTGGGCTTTGCTGTAGAATTGGTCCTTTTTCTTTTGAGAGCAGGAAGAAATGTCCAGTACTCCAGCGCTCCTGAGGGAAGGGAGGTTTGGAGGTCAGAGCAGGGGGTGCCACCCAAAGCCCTTCCAATGGCCAAGGGGATGTGTGAGTTATCCCCCACCCATGTCACTGGCGGCCCAGAGTGGGACACGACCATTGCAGAGCCAGGTGGACCTGCTATCCCCTGCTCTCTTCCCATGACCCAGGCATCCTGCAGGATGGATGAGCATCCCTATAGAGTGCTTTACCCAATTGCTTCTGGAGGTATTTTCTCAATCTGCTCCTCGTTCAGATCACACAGGAAAATCCCACCAATTTGCTGAAGCAAGGGCCCTGTTAGGTTGCCCCCCAACTCCAGGAACCTTGCGATCAGCTGCTGCTTCTGGAAAACACAGTTCATGCATTGCGTGCTTCGAGAAGAGGAAAATGTATTTGGCAGAAACGCACTACAAAACCCCTGTGCCTTGGGCTCCAGGAGATGGGGGGGTGAGCTCCCACAGGAGCTGGGCACAGACACGAGCTCAGAGCAGCCCTCGTTTGGGCTCTCCTGCATCTGTCCCTGTGCCCCTCGGTACCTGGGCGCTGCTCCATTTGCCATCTGAGGGGTTGAGCAGGGCGCAGAGTGTGTCTGCTGAGGTCACCTGCCACTGGCTGAGCTCCTGCACTGTGTAGAGGCGGGACAGCGGCCCCAGCCTCCGGAGCTGGGCATCTGGCATCCCGGTGGGGTACACCTGCACTCAGCAAAGAGGGGTGGGGAAGTCAAGGATGCTTGTGGTGTCTATATTAAAGCAAGAATTGACTTCCCCGTCCCAAGTAGTTGCACCACTGCACGTGCCCTGGTTCACCCCTTACCTCCTGTAGCCTTTTTTTCAGCACCCAGAGATACTCGGTGGTGAGTGGCTGCTCCAGCACATGTTCTAGGTCTGTTTGCAGAACGCTGTCACTCAGGCAGAGGTAGAACTGCTCGGGGCTTTCATAGTCGAGGAGCAGGATGCTCTCAGAGAGCACACGGGTGGTGATGGGCTCCTGCATGCAGCCTGCAGGCGGGGAGGGTGCATTTGGGGCTGGCATCTCTTGGTCTGCGCTCCGCTTTGGCCGGGGGTGGGATGCTGCTGCCATGGCTGTCAGCAGGATCAGGGACTGCTGCCGCTGCTCCCATCCCTGGGTGCTGTAGGTGGCTGCGATGCTCCTGGCAAATGCCTCCCGTGCTGCCTGCCAGGGAGGGCAGAGGAATCTGAGTTCCTCAGGATGCTGGGCCCCATGCCTGTGGGCTGGCCTGACATATGGGACATTTAGGGTTGGCTCACCTTATCCACCAAGCTCAGCGTGGTCTGGTTCAAAGCCAGTGCTAGTGGCCCCAAATGTTGCAGAGTCTCCAAATCCCAGCCTGAAGGATGTCTGCAAAAAGCACAGCTCAGCATTCTGAAGGGAACACCTCCCCTCCTGCCCACCGCTGGGCTCCTTACCCATATACTGTACTGCCCCTGAGGAGCACAGCATTGACAGCATTCTGTTGGGCACCCGTAAGCATGGGGCAGAGTTTCAGGTGCTCCAGGATACTGGGGTGCAAAGCAATGATGGTGCCTGGTTCCATGGTGCACACCAGCACCCCGAGGCTGTGACAAAGGAGGTGGATGACAAAGAGATGGGTGACAAATGAAGCATGGCAGAACGCAGGCACGAATGTGCCCTAGGGCAGTGGCAATGCCCTGGGCTTAGAGTAAGACAGAAGCCAGTGGAGCCCAGATTTGGAGTCCAGAATCTCCCATTGTATCTGCGCCAGCCCCATAAAAAGAGAATTTTTGTTTTGTTTGTGCTACAACAGAAGAGGATAAGGCTGAAACCCAACCTGGAACCAGAACTGGCTGCGCCAGGCTCTAAATCTTCCCCAGCCCAGTGCCAGTCACAGAGCCCATGATGCACATGGGAAGAAACACAACGCCCAAAGCAAACAACACTTCTGCACCCTGTGCTGGGGTCGACACTCACTCAGCATATGGCTCCGTGGCAGCAAGGATGGCACCGAGGAGGAGAGTGGCCTGGGGGGAATTATGGAATCATAGAATCATTCAGACCTCTTGCATCCCAAGCCCAATCCCAACCCATCCCACCATGCCCACCAACCCACGTCCCTCAGTGCCACTTCTCCATGGTTCTGGAGCACCTCCAGGGATGGTGACCCCACCACTTCCCTGGGCAGCAGTGCCAGTGCCCAACTGTTCTTTCAGAGATGAAATTGTCCCTGATATGCAGTAAAGGAGAGCAGGTGGACATCAGCCCCAAACTCTGCTTAAAGCCCTGTTGGTTTGGAGCCATTTATCAATGCTCAGTGACTCACCAATGCTGCCTGCATGAGGGCAACAGGAAATCCTGCAACAAAATGAAATGGTGTTGTGAAAAGTTCAGCAGTGTGCATACAGGGGCTGTGCTGGAGCAGCTCCAGCTTTCAGCCTGGGGAAGTTTTCTTTGTCAATTGAATAACATTTGGTAAACGCTGTGTGAAGAGAGCGGAGTTCTTAACCACCCTGCAGCCCAACCTGGACACCATGGAGATGAGCTTAGAGGGAGAGCAGTGATGCCCCAGAGCTGGGAGAAGTGCGTGTTCCCATTCCCAGCACAGTGCCAGCTGTGGGCTGGGAGCAGGTCTGGGGGCAGAGGCACTCACGGAGGGTAGGGGCTGCCCACACCATGCTGCCTGTGCTGGGAGTCTGGTGCTGGGTGCCTCCTTGTGCTGCTGGAGCTGGAGCTGAGCCTGGTGTTGCCCACGCAGGGTGCTGAGTCCTGCAGAGCAGAGGACAGGCTTCACTCCATGCCCATTGATAACGTGGGCTCTGTGATGAGTTCTCTCGCACTGGGACCCCTCAGATGCACACCAATAGAATGGTGAGCAGTTCCACCAGGGGTGCACCCCCTGTACCCCAACCCCGCTGTTATAAACCCCCCTAGAAAATAAATCCTTGCTCCAGAACCGAGATCAGCACCATGCAGCACAATTGGGGTCACTGCAAATCATTTCCCCACTAAGTCCCATCCCGTTCCACCATCCCACCCAGCTCTGGCCACCCTCTGCCCACGGCTTTGTCACCTACCTGCACCTGCAGTCGCCTGCAGCCAGGGATGAGCAGAGGGAGCGGAGCAGCACGGCCCTTATCTGTGTGGGGTGGGGATGGGGCTGCAGGATGGGGTGTGACGGAAGCAGTTTCTCAACTCTGTTTTGTAAAGTCTCTCTCTCTCTCTCTTTTTTTTTTTTTTTAATGTAAAGGGTCACTTTGAACTTGGAGGCCAGGGAATGACAGCTGCTGGTTCTGCAGCTCCTCATGAGGACAGAGTGCCCCTCAGCCAGTGAGAGCCCTTTGAGTTACCTGGGAATGCATCTCAAGGGCAGTCTGCTTCCTTCCTTACTGTTTTATGAGTGCCTGTTGTGATGCCATCCAGCACATACTGGGAGAGAAAGGATTTAAAAATAAGGAAGGGAGACCAAGGGGATGCAGCACAAACCCAGATGGTGACAATGATGCTGGGAACCCAATGCGTGCTGTGTGCCTTGTGCTGAGCCCTGGCAGGAGAGAGCTGGGGGACAGCAATGTGGGAGCTCTGCCAGTCTCTCGCCCTTGTTCTGGGGTGCCACTGTGGGGTGGCAGCCACAGGCACCCTACTCAGAGCTCACATCCAGCCCCAAAACTGCCTTAGGGTCCATCACAGGAAGTGGCCCCTGGTATTTTCTGGGGGTCCTTTGGATGTTGGTGGCAGTGAGGTGGGGACACTGCATGCCACCCAGCTGTGGGGATGCTCCTGGGCAGCTGCTGTGTAACCCTAAAATCTTCACAACCTGAAGGATGCACACAAACCCTTTGTTCTTTGTTTTTCCACCCATGCCAACCTCAGCAATGGTGTTAAAGTGCCATTAAGAAATGGTGCTTGTCCCTACAACCACAGTGCAGGGCTGCACTGCTCCCACCTGTCCTCATCAGAGAGCTCTGAACTCTGCAGGAATTTGGAGGAACTTTTCCTCCACCTCTGCTGCTTTGTTTTGGAACAGTCCCAGCCGCTGGCGCTGTCACTGCCCTCTGGCTGACATCAAGGTATGGCTTTGGTGCTGTGCTGTCAGGGGAGGAGAGGGGCTGAGCCCCCCCAAGGCATGCACACAGAGGGGATGGAGTATTGGGTGACATCTGAAGCCCCAACCCTCCCCCACCTCATGGCCTCAGGGACTTGGGAGCTCAACCAATGCCAATGTCAAGGGAAGTATGAAAGGGTTGGAATCGGGGTAATGGGGATGGAAAATGTCCCCAGGGCAGAACTGCGTAAGAGAGGACCATGAACCCTATGGGGACACAGCATGGGACAGGTGAGAGGTGACCGAGGTTTGGGGAAGGGCTGGGCTGTGGCATCTGCCCCACAAACCTTCACTACCAGCACAGGGTCACCGATCGGGATGGCTGTGGGATGGATGACCCTGCTGGTTTCAGCTGTGGGGTTTCAGCTGGATAAGGATGAGAGTGTGATGATGACACAACAGGTTGGGTTGGCCGAGTTGGAGTGTGGGGCTGTCTTGCTGGACTGGTTTGGGCTCATTCCTACCAGCCCCAGTCCGTGGCATTGCATTGGCCCCACAGTGACTGGGGCAGCACTGAGAAAAGGAAGAACCACAGAGGAAGAGTATCAGGAAGAGATGGTTTACTATGGCAATGCCCACAAATACACAATAAATAAGGGTTGTTACCAGGGGTACAGAAGACCACGAAACACACAAATACCCAAACATGACCCCTCCCAAGCTTTCACGTGCACAAAGTGGATCTACACAAAATGCAGCGAACGCCGCGTGGAGGTGATGTGGGCAGCGCTGCCCCGTGGGCAATAGCTTTAGGGTTGGCTCCTGCAATATCACTCAAAGTGCAACACAGTGCGGGATTGTGGGACGCAGTGCTCCGGCTGTGACCATCCCCATGGCACAGTGTCCACATGCTGCCATGGCAGTTGAGGGCACAGTGTCCCCAGCTTGTGGCCGCAGCCACATGCGGATGTTCCTGCACAGATGGGGCACATCCCAGCTCTGATGCAGCAAATGTCACCCGTAATCTTTCGGCCTTTCGGCACATCCCTGACAGTAATTCTTTGGCAAACACTCAGTGCTGTTAATTTACAGCTTCGGGAGTGCCTGTGGCTGCCTGCGCTCCCTGGGCACACCTGGAGGTGGGGATGGGCTCTGGTGGGGAGGAGCCAGCCCTGCTGATCCCCAGAGCCCCTGCCACCCCCCCGTCTGTCCTCTGATCCATCTCAGCAGAGCTGCCTCCACACCTAGGAAAAAAGGGAGATGCTAGTAAAAGGAGAATCTATTTAAAAAAGCGTGGGGATGCTGGCTGCTTTAATACAAGGTAAGTACTAAAAATACGTGCATCTCTGGGACCATCAGAACTGCTAAAAGACAAGATTCGTTCCATAGAAATCTGAAAAAAAGCTTTAAAATCTCTTCATACCAATTTGCTCATCTTCAACAAACCTTTAAAAACAAGTAGATGGGTGGTGAGGCTGTGCCGCAGTCCCAGCTCATGGGCAATAAGCAAGGAGGGGTCATCCCACCTCCTGCACTGAGGACTGCGGTGGGATGGAGCAGTGGACACAGAGCCCACGGAGGGCACACTGAGCACCCGAGTGCTGTGGGACTGTGGGTGCATCCAGCACACTCATGGCACAGCCGCGCTGCCCCGGCACAGGGACGCAAAGCTCCAGGGTCACTCTAAGCTGGTGCGTGGCACACTGACTGCTGCTGTGGCACACAATTAGGAAAGGGGCATCCGGTGGCCAAGTGGGTGATGGGCACGGTAAAAAAAGAAACCAATCCTAATTGCTGCTAAAAACTGCCTAATCCCAGACCCAGAGGTGAGGGAAACCACAACCTATGGAGAGTGTGGATGTGGAGTTAGTGCTGGGCTCTGGGGGTAGGCTGCCAGAACCCATCAGACAACTATGGAGCAAAGGGTTGGGAACGCGTGGAAATGGCCGGCGCTCACTCCAGAGCCCACTCAGCCAACCACTGCTCGCACTGCACACGCTGCTCCTCCAGCTCCAGGCTCTTGGCTTTGCTCAGTGCCTCCTCTTCTTTATCCCCAGGCACGGCTTGCTGGCTTTGCCCTACGTCCCCCTTCTGCACTGCCTTGTCCTTCAGCTCCTGGATGGTCTCGTCCAGGCGGCGCACAATGTGCTGCGGCACCCAGTTGCCATCCATGGCTGTGACAAAGGGGTCAGGCGTGCAGACCTCGATGAGCTCCTTGCTGGTGGGGATGCGCAGGTAGTAGGCGTGCAGCATCATGCGGTATGGACCGCTGTCCTTCTTGTGGCTGTACGTAAAGTCCCCCACGATGGCGTGGCCGATGGCACTGCAGTGAACCCGGAGCTGATGGGTGCGCCCTGGGAGGGAGCAGTAACTGGGGCTACAGGGTTTCACCAAATCCCCCCTTGGCATCCCCATGATAGTCCCTCTAATTGGTGTCTCTCCAATTGGAGAACTCAAGTCCATGAGCTCAGCTTCAGCCAGCCCCTCCTGGACTGCTTTGCTCCACCAATACTGCAAGCACAGATCCCACCCTGAGCTATGGACACATGCACCACGTGAGCCCCCCCCAGAGCCCCACCTGTCAGCGGCTGCAGCAGTACTTTGGTCACAGGATCTCCGCTGTAAGACCCGTGCTCGAGCACAATCAGCTCCGACTGACACGGCTTGGGGTTTTCACAGCCTGCAACAAGATCCAGGGGTCAGCCCTGCCCAGCTCCCCGGGTTCAAGCAGGGCACGCGTGCTGCTCACCCTCTGTCCCCTCAATGCACATCATGTGGGTCATGCCCTCTGCTGTGTTCTTGCCGATGGCATAGCGGATCGTCATGTGGCTCTGGTCAACGTGACCCCTCACCTACAGGAGACAAAACTGGATTGCAGGGCAAGCCCAGGCTCACTCCCTTCCACCCCCCAGCTTGTACGGGTAGCGCTGAGCTCACCAGGGCCAGGTAGGCTTTGGTCACCAGGCGGTCCTTGAAGCACTTGTAGGCGCTTCCTGCCGCCGCTTTGTTGAGTGCGACGCAGAGGGCCCCGCTGGTGGAAAAGTCGAGCTGGTGGCAGAACCTGGAGCAGAGGGACGTGAGGGAGCACCGCGGCCGCTCGGCCACTGATGCACGGCCCGGCCCGCGGCTGGGGGCTCACCTGAAGCCGTAGTATGTGTCGGGGTCTGCCAGCTCGGGGAAGCGGTGCTTCAACTGACTCTGCAAGGTCAGCGTCTCGTACCACATCTTGCTGTCGATGCGGATGTCCCAGTGCTTGTTGACCACGATGAAGTCAGGGCTCTGGTACAGGATGCAGAGGTTGTCGATGGTGCCCGGCTCCATGGCGAGCGCCCTGCGGGGACAGCGGCGGGGCTGGGGCCGGATGGGCCGGGGCTGACCGCGCATCGCAGCCCCGCATCGCTCGCTCCCGCGGCCCCGCGCAGCCCTCCCGGAGCCCCACGCCCCGGCCCCGCTCCCGGCCCACCTACGGCGCGGCCCCGGCTCCGCCGGGCGGAGCGCAGCCGTCGCAACGCGTCACCTCGGCGCCAGCCGCGGATCGCCCCGCAGCCAATCAGCGCGTCCACCGCTTGCTGACCTTCTCCTCGCATCCAATCAGAGAGCACGCAGCTTGCTGAGCCGCGCCCCGCAGCCAAT